GCATAGATATTTTGATTTGGGTGAATGCTAAGTGGTGGATTACGTTGATTTTGGAAGTTAATTTTGTTGCTTCCTGGTTGATTTCCTGCCCTGTCAACAAAAACCCCAGTCTATATAACTAACTATAATACTCTACACTTGGCATTAGCACCTGGCCTGGAGATATCAAACACAGCTTGGATAGAAACAAACATGTTCCCGAAGGGTGCGGGGACTTAATTACATGGTATCGAGAAGCTGGATATAATTAATTGTCTTCCCCACGTCCCATTGTTGTCAGATAGGTTCCACATAAAAATTCCTCTGTACTGAACTGCTACGTCCTTACAGATATCCTTGGTCTCACTAACTATTCCCTTACCCGCCTGAAGTACAAGGTGCTCGTGCCAAAAGATAGCATCGTTTTGTGATCTTCAAGCTTTCGCACTACAGGGCATGTTGACGACAAAAATATCGGTGGTCTGGTCGAAGAAGCTTCAGATGGCAGCTTACAGGTTGCTTCCAAGAAAAACGGCTTCTGCTTTCTTGATAATGCTTAGTTAATGTTCTCAGGATTCCAGGCCTTGAGGTCAAACCACCGAAATGACTTGGAGCAGGCTCCTCGCGATTTAGAAGGTAGAACTAGACAACCCAGGGCCAAGTTGAGCTTCTCGGAGAGTTAAACGTGCAAAGTCTCCGGAGCTAAGTTAACTTACCCATAGGGCTAGAAAAGAACATATAAAGGAGATGGTAAATCTATTCAGAAATTCGTTCTTTCTCTCAATCAAAGAAAATTTCCCTCTCAACTACAGCGCTTGAGGCTCCAGATTCCTAATTTGCTACTCCAAAGCAAATCACCATGTCAAGCATCTATCCAGGTAACCTACCTCGACCCACTTACCAGACATGAAAAGGCGTGCCATACATAGCAATACTTCACCATTCATGTACACTTTTTATTAATTGATCCACAGATCCCTACAAAGTGTGGTCCGAATTCGTTCCAACCTACCTCAAGTTTCACCGTAGTGGGAACGCTACTGAGGCTACTGTGCAGTTGGTAGAGGCAGCTAATGCGGTCCTCCCATTCTCAAAAGCATCCACAATTCTAGACGTTGGCTGCGGCGGGGGCCAAATCGTCAATTACATTATGGAGAAATACAGCACTGTGCTCCCAGAAAACGCACGTATTGTTGCATTAGATTTCGTGGAGGGCATGGTCAATCTGGTGCGCGAGCAGCAGAGGGATCACATCAATCGCGGGGACGCAGTGTGGGGGCAACTTGAAACGGCGGAGCTCGATGCTACGGATCTATCCAGCATCAAAGATGGGGAATGCAGCCACGTTCTCGCCGGGTTTGTATACAGCGATATACCGGATTCCGCCAAAGCACTCAAGGAAGCGCATCGCATCCTTCAAGAGGGTGGAATTGTTGCGTTAACCAATATGAGGGACGCTGAATGGCTGGACTTGCTACAGGTTGTCAAAGAAATTAGGCAGGACTTGCCGGAGACCCCGACGGCAAAATCGTTTGCACCGACGTGGTTTGAGGATGCCGGCACAAAGGCGCATTTGGAGAATGCTGGCTTTCGAGATGTTGAGATTCGTAGGATTCCAATTCATTATGGGGCCAAGTCGTACCAGGAGCTTAGGGGAAAACTGTTCGAAACTGTGCCGTTCATGCCGAAATGGCTTAAGCAGATGTCTGAAGAAGAGATTGAGAGGGCAAAGGATCTGCTGGTTGAGCGTGTGAGCAAAGTGCATACAAGTGAGCCAATTGCCCTTTTAGGAACGGCTACGCTGGCTATTGGGAGAAAGTAGACAGGTAGGTATTTGATAATTGAATGCATTTGAGTACTTAGGAAATAAAAACGAAATATTCACAAACAATCTGAATTATTACTTCATAAATACAAAAAGTAATAGATTTTTGACAGCTTTAATATAAATCGGTTCGAAACGGAATGCAAGAATACGTAAAATATCTCCCTTAAACATGAGAGAGGCTCTAAGAATCGAATCCTCCCTCACAGACTCACATCTCTTTCCCTCCTAATGGACGCCGTCCCGTTGACAATTGTCTTCACGCGAAGTAACGGTAGGGTCACCCTATCTGTCTAAGGGGATTCAAATGCTTAATCGATCGTTGGACGCCTGCATGCCAGGAGCGTCACGAGAACGGGATCGGGTATTTGAAGATTCAACCGGGCGAAGAAAGAAAATTTGTGAAAAACGATGTTTGAATGTTGGAACGATAGCTGAGGAGTTACGACTGCGTCGGTAGCAGCATATTTTAGACGCTGGGTATCGCCGGCAGACGCGAGTAATAGCCGCTCACGTGATGGCTATCATTGCCAACGCCGACGCCAGCCGAAGCGGGAAAACATTTCGCCAACTCAGAATATCTTCAAGATAAACACCACGATCGAGTGACTACCACCACCACTTGAAAAAAATAGAGAACTGGTCCGCGGTTAGGTCCTCGTTTGACAAGATGACACTCGCTCTCCTGTGTCGCTGCGTCCCGCATGCCACTCGACCCGTTGTCCGTGCCTCAACGAAGCACACCAAGATCCCGATACGATGGGGTACTTCGATATCCCAGCGACCCGGGTCGGACAGGTATGTGACCGATTATTGCGAGATACTATATACCCAGGTAGTTTAAATGGATTCAGACTGATAGGGATGTTGTGTGCGTTATGTATGAATATAGCGTTCGATTTCCCGGTGCAATAAATAGCAAGTTTACCAGTGAAATGTCGTTCATCAACCCTTCGGAACACGCTGCCATCCCCACATACCGAGTAATGGACTCCGACGGCATGATCGTGGATACGACTCGAGGACCGCCTAATGTCACAAGTGAAGAGGTTATTACATGGTATAAGAATATGTTAACGGGTACGTTTCCTGACGGGCTGGTGCTACAAATTACACATGTGAACATATCGCACCGCTCTAGATATGGTCACGCATGGTCGAATTTGCTGAAAGATAGAAAAGGGGTCGCTGATCAGACTCTGCGATGTTGCAGTTAGTATTATGGACGTGATTATGTTTGACGCTCAAAGGCAAGGTCGATTGAGCTTCTATATGGTATGCTACCGTTTGTTGACTTCCGCAATGAATATAGAATATAAATGCAAAAATGCCTGACCAGTTGACAGGTTTCTGCGGGTGAGGAAGGAATAGCTGTTGGCTCTGCCTCTGCTCTGTCTCCAGATGACGTTGTTTTTGTCCAATACAGAGAAACTGGAGTTTTCCAGCAACGTGGGTTTACCCTCAAAGATTTCATGAGCCAGCTGTTTGCAAACCGTAACGATCCTGGCAGGGGACGAAATATGCCAGTTCATTACGGCAGTCAGAAATTTAAAACTGTATGATATTTTGCTCGTTGCTGCATCCGGTGTATTGTGTTTGTTAACATGATATAGCATACCGTATCATCTCCGCTAGCCACACAAATTCCGCAAGCGGCTGGCGCAGCTTACGCCCTGAAAATCCAGTCTTTACAAAACCCCAATATCCCAAAAAGGATCGTCGCCTGTTATTTTGGCGAAGGCGCTGCAAGCGAAGGCGACTTCCACGCCGCTCTGAATATCGCAGCCACGCGCTCCTGTCCCGTAGTATTCATCTGCCGAAACAACGGCTACGCCATCTCCACCCCAACACTGGAACAGTATCGAGGTGACGGCATTGCCAGCCGCGGAGTCGGATATGGCATTGACACAATCCGCGTTGACGGCAACGACTTCTTTGCTGTCCACGAAGCTACAAAGGAGGCCCGTCGTATGGCCCTGGAAAATGGAGGACGGCCCATCCTCATCGAAGCGATGAGCTACCGTGTTTCCCATCACAGCACGAGTGACGACAGCTTCGCGTACCGTGCCCGTGTCGAAGTTGAGGATTGGAAACGACGCGATAACCCGATCACGCGGCTGCGGAAGTGGATGGAGAATCAGGGGATTTGGAATGAGGATCTCGAGCGTGATACGCGAGACGAGGTGCGAAAGGCTGTGCTGCGGGAGTTTTCTGCAGCAGAGAAGGAGAAAAAGCCACCACTTCGCGAGATGTTTAATGATGTCTTTGAAAAGGTTCCAGAATCGACGGAGGCGCAGAAGGCGGAGTTGAAGCGAATTCTGCAGACTTATCCTGCTGAATATGACCTTTATGAATATGAGGATGGGATTAACGGGCTGTAGCTTTTGTTAAGACCGGTGAATTTCGAAATCCTGATGGCTGCATCGGCTATTCAAACCCCTTAAGAGGACGCAGTCTGAACGCATTGCGGCATACTGCAATGGGCTACAACTGCGGGCCACATTAGGCCCCAAAAGCGATGAATAAACATCAGGACTTAGTTTCCCTTAGTGGGTTATGTCCTTTCCGGCTTACGACGGGGCGGCTTATGTAATCTTGTTATTAGCATAGAATCCCATGGGGTGTGTATATATATCTAGCATTTTATAACATGCATTTCTGTCTTTAGTGGATATTATAGATACAAAGAATTGCATTGTCTGCACATCCATAGTTGTATATACAGAATTAAAATACGTTAGAGCTTTGGAAAGGAACTTGTCCACTTACATTGAAACCTGATTATGTTTTAATATCCCACTTGCAGGTTGCCATGAAATTAAAGTAATGAAAAACACTCAAAATATCAGAAAATCACCGGCTAATCTTCAATCAATCAAGTCCCTTAGAATTCTGTATGATTCGCCAGGCAGTGAACTCCATGATGATGCTTGCTGTTTTTTTAATTGTTTGCTTCAACAAATACCAAATCACAGGCTGGAAGAGACACAAAACTAAATTGAAGATAAAATGTTCATTAATAATGCATCTGATAGTCATAATCGCAGTAGTTAAGTGGATTCCACAGGCAGAAACACACAGATAAGCAAGTTACAGGGGCTCGACTCTATTCCTCAATGCTCCAACCACTCATCTCCATCTGGCACATACCACCGGCCAGCCACTACCAACTACCACCAACCCAAACAACCGCGATTCACAAGCCAATATCAGACGCTGACCCCACAAACTCCATCGCCGCAGACAGAGCCTGCTGCACCAGCTTCTTATTCCGTTTCACAAGTGTCAAAACCTTTTTGTCAACCATATCTACCTCTTTCCGCGAACTCTCCAACTCCCGCTGTGCTTCCTCAATCATATTCCGCAGCTCCTCATCAGACATGCTCATCAGCTCTTCAAGACCAACGCCAAGGTGACTTCCACTAGTTGTCGATTTGGGTACGGTAGATGAGCGAGGCGTAGCTCCAGCAGCACCAGCACCAGCACCAGCAGCACGAGCGGGCTCATTGGCATCTGCTGCAGATGCCGCAGAGTAACCGTTGGGAGTAAAGGGAGGAGGGGAGGGCATAGAAGAGATGGCAGAAGTTTTCGCAGAGCCGGATAGTAGTCCATTCTCCGGTGCGCCGTCGATCCAGCGGATGTTGAATTTTTCGGGAGTTGCAAAGAGAGCATCCAAGCCTCCACCGCGGTTGGTCATGTCGGGCTCGGTGACCGTTAAGGCTGGATATTCCTGCAGCGACTCCCAGGCTGCTGTGAGGCTCTTCTCGAGTTCCAGATAGCGGTTTTCTTCCTCCACGGAGAGATGGCGGAGGACGCAGCCGGTTGGTGTGACTAGGCAACGATACTTCAGTAGATCGGAATCCTCATTAATGTGAATTGGTTCACCCTGAAGTAGCTTGGTTCTATGCTCTTCAGCCAAGTCGATAGGTTTTTTCAAAATGTCGTAATCATCGGCAGTGCACTTCAGATCAGACCGTTGGTTGAGGTTCGGTGGGTTGAAGACTGGGTGTGTATTTAGATCAAGATCGCCAGATTGATGCAGTTGCGCAAGTAACACTGGAAGTGGTGATGTTCTCTCCAAAAAAAGATCTTTAATAGGCACACCGCTAGCTTCTGAGTCTGCCATAAGCTGCCGAGTCGTATTGTTTGATCTCCATGGTTCGACATTTTCCTTATCCTCTGCAGCCGGACTAGCGGTGGGCTTTTCCTTGGTGGCAGAATCCTTGGTAACTTTATCTGGTCCGTTGGTCTGTGTCGACATTTCTGGTTTATTCTGCCCCTTGGATTTCGATGCTTTGGCCGCTTGGGCGGGCTCTTGATCTGTTTCATTTGCTGTAGAAAGTTGTTCAGTGGTAGGTGTCTGGGCCTTCTTTGCCTTGCGTTTCCTGCCGATAATCGGTGCTTGAACAGGTTCTTCGGTGACAGCCGAAGACGGGATTGCTTCATCCTTTTTAACTTCTGCGTTCTTAGACTTGAGTTTCCGTTCCTTTTTCAATTGACTTTTTGTTACAGTACGAACTGGTGCGGAACCAATGCGACTTGGCGGTGGTGAGCCTGCCCTCGACAATGACGCAGAAGTATGAAAATCGTATTCAGAGTCAGCGTTATTTGGCGTGCCTGGGAGGCTGGTGGATGAAACACTGGGTCGCCTAGATCGCTGTTTCGCCGACGAGTTGGAAGCGGCTGAATGTGTAGGTGCGGTAGCTGAAGTATGTGTTTCGGATTTCGATGTGTCAACGACACGCAATACTCGTGCTTGCCGAGGAATAGGAGAATCAGACGCCCGTGAAACGCCCGTCAAGGGGGTATTGGGGCGCGAGGCAACGTTTGATAATGCGGGTATGGAGGATACGCTGTGATTGGGTGTGGTGGTTCGAGAGGGAATATTGTCCCGGGGCGTTGGCATTGATAGCTTCAGCATCAATGGCAAGGGCTTGCTGCGAGGCTCACGAGGTTGTTTGCCACTTTTATTAGTAATTGCCGGAGCTTTTTCAGAGTTGAGATCCTGAGTTTTCTCCTTGACTGTTAGAGTGTCACTCGCTTGACGGCTACGTGCTGTAGATTTAGGCTTTGGAGAACCAGAGGATATTTCAGCTGCAGCGCGTGTCCGTGCGGGTATGGAGGGGATGATAGGTGAAGGTTGCCTGTCCGGTGTGGGTTGCGCGGAAGTATGGACATCTTTAAATTTCTGGATGGGAGTTGAAAATCCAGCTCGTGGTGGAATAATTGCTTGTTTGGGACTTGATGTGGTCGAGTTGGATGGGCTGTAATCTTGGCCAAAAGATGCGGCAGGATGCCCATGGGGCAAAGGAAGGCCGGGTGGTAGTACGGGGGTACCAGACCTGAAGGGCGAATCGAGCGACCCATGGGAGGCTCGTGATCCTGATGCGATGCGAAATCCTTCAAAAGGCTGCTTATCTAGAGGCTTTGTTGGAGGACCGAGAGGCGGGAAATCTTCATCTGATATACCAGCAGAGCTGTGTTAGCAGCTTTGAAATGAACACGTAAAGGAGATGGCCAAACGTAAGAAATATGCACTGCTGAACAACCGAAAAAAGAATCAAACTAAAAGGACAGGAGCGTGAAAGCATAGACTCTGGGATAAAATAGGTGGGCTACATGGTGGCACCGGCGGGATATATATACAGATTGAAAGCTCTTCATTACAACAAGATCCACGGAATGTAGGGAGTTGGAAGCGAAGAATGAGGAAGGGGAGTCTATATGAGCAATAAATGTGAGAAAATTGCTTTCGAGATAGATCTGACTTGGGTACAAGTCAGGGTAAGGGAGACTTAACGTACAAAAGAAAGGCTCACAATCACCATGCGGATGAGCCGAAAGTGCTGGAAAATTAAACCCGTGATGCTAATGAAGAGCCCCAAATCTGTAGCAAACCCCTAGAGAAGTATAGATCTCTGCAAAAAGAGGAGGGAAAAATAAAAATAAAAAAAATAATGCGTAGACGCCGACCCTCAGCCTCACCGCAAATGTGAACTTAACACCCTGGTAACGCCCGAGGCTCGCCTATCCCAGTGATTTTGACAT